ATGGGTCACGAACCACTATAAGTGGAAGTGTAAATAGAAGGCGGTTAGCGAAATAATAAAATATATAGAAGACGAGAGTGCACAAGGAAAGAGGACTTTGTAGGAAAAAAGAAGGAATAGAGGTGATGGTAAATCGAAAAAGTAAAGGGGACCATAAATTCAGCATAAACAGGAATTTATTTGGCATGTGTAGTTAAAGCAAGTGCCCATGCAATGTGCGGCACATAAATAATGCGAAAATCTACGCAGATTCTAAGTAGAGTTGATGAGATTCATTGACATCGTGAGGGCCGCTCATATCAGTAGGAAAATTAGATTTAATCATCTTATGCGACCTAGGGTAAATATGATTATCATCCAAGATACATTAATATACTCAAGCTTCTATACATGGGTGTTATATATATATATATATGACCTGTTAATACTCCTTATTAATATAAAGTGATCCATTCTGTTGAGGTCAAAGAAAACAGATCAATGGCTAATCATGAATGAAATATAACAATATGGCGTCTTCAGCCACTAAAATAAACAGGCCATTTTGCTCATAGTGCAAATAATAATAATAAATACAAAATATCCTGAAAGGTTAAGGTCATCTCAAGCGTAACACAGGGTCAATTCCTCTATCAAAAAAGGAGAATCTAAATAAGCATGTAAAAGTCTTAGACAACAGGGACATTTTTTGCATCAATTATTTTTTGTCTCATAATTTTTCAATCACAAAATAAATGTAGTCAATGCATAAAAGCAAAATTAATAGCAGTAACAAATAACCTTTCTGCCTTTGGATCACGTATGAGGCCTTTGACCCAAACAGGAGAATCCAAGTCGAATGGATACAAATAATAGATGAAGTCAAGATATTTTACTGATTTCGATCCGGATATTTCCCTGTTTGAATATTTTGCAAAATGCTGAGATACATTGTTTTTAATATCTTTGAGGGGACTTCCCGATATGATCGATTTTGGGACATTTTTTTGGTTAGATGAGGAATTACTCTCCTCAGAGGAAGTCTCTGGATCAGTGGGTACGCTATCATGGGTACAATCATGACTAAAAGAAAAAATGATAGAAAAAGCTGGAAAGGATAAAAATATGCAATAATGCAAGTGTGTTACCTTTTATTATCAACATGATTGTAGATGGGAAAACTACTCGATAATTCATTGCTTGAAGAAGAGTTAGAAGACACAATGAAGGATGAAGATGAAGAGAGAGAGACGAGATACATTTTAATTCTTCTGTGAACTCAAAAAACGTTCAAATTCGTCGCTCTCCGTAGGCGAATTCATTTTTGTGTAATGTCCCAATGAATGGGATGACTCCGTATTTAGAGTGGAAGTAACATAAATTGATGATATTGGAACAGGATTTGAGCAGCTATTCATGGGAGTTTTATGAATATGAAGCAGC